CTATATGGAGTAGTGTATTCTTACCATTAAGTGGCCATGCAACTTGCCTCAATGTTCCAACAACTACCTCATATAATAATAATAATAATTTCTCTTTATTTTATTATTTTTTAATTACACAATGTGATATAAATTTTAAAAAAAAATTTGTTTTAAACAATTATCATAGAACTGAATTAAATCGTTGCGCAGAGAAAAAAAAGTAAATTTTTAGAGTTACGGAAGCTACTTAACCTGATGGGCAAGGTCAAATCTTTTTTTACTTTTTTACTCATTTTATTATGATTTAAATTTAAAATATCTTACTCTATTAAAAAATTAATAATAATTAAATTAATTAATTCATATGGATCACGCAAATCATGCTAATGTCACCATTGACATTTCTTCCCATAACAATTCTCTGTCATCGCTTACTACACTATTCTGGAAAGGTGATCCCTCAAATCACGCTAATGTCGCCACTAACATTTTTTTCCCATTATGATTTTGATGTTTGTGGCCTAATTGATTGTTTAGCTAGCTATCAAGAAGAAAATTTTTGTTGCGCAAGAGGGATGCCTTTTTATTATTATTATTATTATTATTATTTTCAAATCCCAATTAAAAATAATGAGAAAAAACGGGTCAAAAACTTTTGCTTAATATGTTGAGGCCTAATTGACATTTAGACATCACGCATCCACACATGGGTTTTACACCTCAATGAGAGATGCTAAGTTTCCTGAAGCTTTATCTTCTTATTTGTTGACACCTCTCGTATAAATTTATCATGTTAAAGATATTTAAATGATTAGAAAATGATAAAGTTTAACTAAATTCATATACATTAATTATAAAATTTTAATTTAAAGTTAAAATTACAAGTTTAAATCTTTATTATATACCAAGTAATTAATCATTTGATATATTAAAAAAAATGATAAATTTGCACCGAGGCAATGCCCGCAAAACATACCATTCATTTTCCTTGGAACGGAGTAGAAGAGGAGGAGGCAGGGAAGTGTAAGAAAATCGATTTTAATTGAAGAAAGGGAAGAAAGGTAAAAAAAAAAAAAAAGAGAGAGAGAGAGAGAGAAAGAGAGGAAATAAGGAAAAGTGCTGTGAATTATTGCTCATCACTTTCTCTTTTTTAATGGTGAAAGTGTTTTTAAGAGAGATTACGAGTACCATATATATGAAACTAATAAATTTTTTTAAGCAATCTATTTTCTTTTTTTCACGCTAATCACATCAGTTTGTGACCTTTAAAGAAAAATTAAATTTCTTTAACTATTGTGTTTCTTTTCTATATTTTTTCATTTATTTTTAGTAATTTTAGTTTAATTTTTTTAATTTTTTAGACATAAATTTTAAGTGAAAATTTAACAATTTATATAAACGCAATTGAAATGTTTTCCTTTTTTCTTTTATGGAGTTCTTGTAGAGTATTTTTATTTAATTCAAAAAAATTTCAATTATCATTTATATAATATGTTAAATTTTCTTTTAAAAATTATATTTAAAAAGTTAAAAAGTCCAATTAAAATTATTCAAAATGAACAAAGAGAGAATACATATTGGATTATACAATAAAATGCAATAATTTTTTACCTTTTAATATACGTTACACATATATTATGCAATTTAAATTTAAAAGTTCATTATCTCCAAACAACTTATATCATGTCTTTAGTTATAACTTTTTTTTTTTCTTAATGGGTATAGCCATCAACTATGACTTAAAACTTGAAATTTAAACATAATTTACAAGAAAATACTCTCTTAGCGGTGATTGATGGAACCCTAAGGTAAATTATTGCTCATTGAATGGTCACCAATGCATATAGTTGATGTAGGGCAAACTTTCCGTCTCAATTATTCACATGAATTGCGTGTTTGAATTTTTTTTTAAAACGTTCAGGATTTTTTTGATTAATTTGCAAATATTTCGATACAAATTTCACTTTTTTTTTTTTGAAGGTCAATACCCCTATATTATTGTGCATTTGAAGCTGCAAATGAATTGAGTTATTTGTGAGTTATTCGACTTGACTTGAGCTCCGTTTTATACTTGAATCGAGCTCTAGTTTAAGCTCCAAATTAAGCTTAAAAAATTGAGTTGAATCCACAACTCGGACTCAATTGAACTCACCTCAATTTTTTTTTTATACTAACCTTTCAGTATTCAAAAACCACATTGGGTCTTGATTAATTTAGAATCGAGTCGGGTTAGACCCCATATAGGGAGAAACTCTCTCAGTACTTGTTTTTTCATTCACAAAACTCGAATTCTAAATCTTATTTAAAAAAAATCAAAATCTTTCAACTCGACCAATAAGTTGTTGTTGAACTCACCTCAATTTGATTTAACTACTTTATTCAGTTAGACTAAAATATAATTATATTAAATATTTAAAATTTTAATTTTATTTTACTTTAAATTTTAAATTAAAATCAAGTAATCAATTGAGTTTGCAAATCGAGTTTGACTTTGAATTCAATATATTTGAATTTGATAAGAATTCAAGCTAAAGTTCGAGTTCTAAAAAACTTGAGAGTTGATTCAATTTAATTCAGTTACAAGTTACAACCATAACTGCATTTGAGGAACCTAATTTCATTGAATGTTAGTATCAAAACTTAAACTCTAAATTTAATTTATAAGATATCATTTATTTATTAATAAATTCAACTCTTAAAATTCAAGATGTTTGAAATTTTGAATCAAAGGAAATGTATAAAGAGAAAATGAAAAGAAACGGTTTTCCTGCAATTAAACGAAGGAACGAAATGGAAATTGTTCTCTCATTTCATTTCTCTCCATATCTCTCAATTCAGAAACAAGCTTAGGTAAGGCTGTAGCCTTTACTTGATTGGGAAAGTTTCTTCTATTCAAGGAAGCCATTTTGATATTTTATAATGCCTAATTTTTGGCACATTTTAATAATGCTTAATACTATAACAAATACACCATTTGTTACGTGGTGGTTTGATAGTAGAATTATCTATATTTTTTATTTTAGTTAATACCAAAATAATAAATTTAAAATGTTTAACTCAAATTTTGTCTTTTTTTTTTTTTTTTGTCTGCAACTAAAAGATCCTGCATTAAAATTTAAATATAAGGAATATTTTAACTCATAGATATTAATTACAAATCACGTAAAACTTTGCTGATAAAATAAAAATCACAGAAAACTAAATTAGGAAAACTGAAGGAAGGAACCAATTAAAGCAAAGCCAGAATCAACAAAACTACAATAGATTATCAATATTGTAGCGACTTGCATGCATCCATAGGTGAGTCAAACCAAAGATCTCGATTAAGCTCTGGCCATAAGTTGGTTTTAACCCAAAAGAAGGATCTAAATTTAATTAAGTTCAGTATCATGTCCTGTGTGTTCACTTCCTCCTTACAAATCAGTTGACGTACTCCGCCACAACCACAGGGACCAAACTGTTGCAAACCATACAATATTTGTCCAAGCTTCTTTCGTTAGTCTTGTAGAAATCAACCCGGTGTGTGTTGCGCCAAAGGTTATTCCAGCGATCAGTGTCGCCACTTTTAGGCCACACTATTCACGGCATGATGCCCCGTGCAAACTGACCAACAAGTCTTGCAAGAGAAAAGTGGTGGTCTAAACTCTTTGTTTATTGTCCACAAGAGGCGCATATCGAATGGACAAGTCCTCCATTCACTTACCCTTCTCTTCAACAAATTTTCTTTGGTTGGGACCCAATTTTGTCCTTCATCACAACTCAACTTTATTCTCATAATATTCCCATTTTGTTTATAAAATTTTATCCAAAATCACCAAATGAGAGAAAAGATGTAGATATTGATATAAATTTTGTTTTTTTTTTTATTTAAAAATATTAATTTTATATTTATATTTAAAAATTAATTAAATGATAATGTTAACACGACTAACTACTTAAAAATAATGCAAAAATTAACATCTTTAAATAGGTAAACAAAAAAAAATTAAAAATTTATATTTTTACATAAAAAGTAATAAAATTTATATTTTTATCTACCCCTTTTCTCTAGTAAATGGTTAATAAACTCAAATTAAAAATTTAACGGCGCGTTTGGAATATAGAACTAAGTAAAACCAAGGGAAATGCGACTGCCAGTACGGACTGGTTTGCCACCATCAAAACACAAAAGAGAATAATAAAAATTGAAGAATGCATATTTTAAAACAAGCCCAAATCCACCTTTTAGATGGGCTGCAGTTGCAGTTGTTTCTGGGCTGTAAGCCTGTAACGCTGTAACTGGTTGTTTGCTACGAGTTTAGGCCCAACATGTGAATCGAAGGCGGGTAGCAACTAACCGACATCACCATGAAATTCCTAGACTCTCTGATAAACCCTAGCTTCCTCCTTTTCTCTCTGTTTCCCTCCCTCAGATCAGAAACAATGGCGGCGAGCGAGCACACTGTATTGCAGTTCACCGCACCATCATCAACGAGCCTATCGGCGAAGGTGCACCCTCTGGTCTTATTCAACATATGTGATTGCTTCGTAAGGCGACCGGACCAGGCGGAACGCGTCATCGGTACTCTCCTTGGTTCAGTTCTCCCCGATGGCACCGTCGATATCCGGAACTGCTACGCCGTTCCTCACAATGAGTCTCCCGATCTGGTTCTTTTCTTTCGTTAGCTCCTTTTAAACCATTCATTCATGTGCTATTAGTTCTGGATTGATCGGAACATATGTTGCGTTGTTTTCTCTAGTATCTTTTGTTAATTGCTCAATGTAGCTTAATCAATTAAGTCGGTTTGCAGTTAACTACATTCAATGTCTTTTTACCTGATTAAATTCTGAATATGTCTGATTTTTTTATTTTTAAGAGATAAATTTAGTGATATTGCATCTACAGCAGAAAGCAATGTCTCACAGTATTGCCTAACTAGTTTCTTCTATCAATATTTATGATGGCTTGAAGATAGAGGAAGAACTGTGAACTTAATAGGGTGAACTGCTTGAATTAGCAAACACCATGATTCTGTATAAATTGTTGGAGCATGAAGCTATTAGTACTTTGTGATAATATCGTTAGGTGCATTGCTTTGTGACTTCTGCTTCATCTCCGTCTCATTTGTTATGTCTAAACTTAATGCTAAATTTTAGAAGTACTAGTTCTTGTGCTGCCTAGAGTTCTGAGATTTCCATGCTCTTGAACTTTTCTTATTTTACATGGCTGCAGGTTGCCTTGGATATTGATTACCATCATAATATGTTAGTGTCCCACCAAAAAGTGAATCCTAAAGAAGTCATTGTGGGATGGTATGTTTCATTTGCTTTTCAAGTGTCCTGATCTACATGTCAAAGATGTAATTAGAAAGTTATAATCGCCCATATTTATGGTATTCATTGGAACTGTTTCTTCATTCTTGAGTCTTGACATGCTTTGGCGTCTAATTGTGAGGTTGTTGGGTGTCGCCTTACCATATCAGCTATATCCTGATAACTTGTTCAGGTTTTCTACTGGGCTTGGAGTTACTGGTGCAAGTGCATTGTTCCATGATTTTTATTCTAGAGAAGTTCCCAATCCTGTTCATCTGACAGTGGATATGGGATTCACAAATGGAGTGGGTACCATAAAGGCTTATGTTTCTGTCAATTTGTCCATTGGAGACCGACCGCTTGTTGCCCAATTCCAAGAAATTCCGCTTGATCTTCGAATGGTTGAAGCTGAGCAAGTTGGGTGTATGTATTTCTTTATCTTGCCCCTATTGAAATCTTTTATAAGCTGTGCTATCTCTCGTGCTCTCTCTCCTCATTTGTTATTCTCTACTAAAGAAATGTGTGATAGGGTCCTGAACTCTTTATCTATATTGGAGGCTTAGTTCAAAAAAATAAGAGTAATGATTGCATGATTATGTAGGTTCTTGGCCCCATATTTAGGGACTGACTATTTAAGTACCTCTTTCCTCAGATTCATAGGCTTTACCTTTTGTAGAGCAGTTGTCAATGTTGTTCTCTCTTCACTCTTTCTCTACTGTCCAAACACAAGTTTTCTGAGTTTGATGCAATGGGTATGAACCCGGCTGAAATAAGTAACCTCATGATGTCAAATGTATTTTTCTCCCCTGCCTGAGCAGGTACAGTTTTGATGCCTGGCAAATGACAGTGCCGGCTGCTATGGCTGTGCCACTGTGCAATGTTAGGGTTAAGTTTTGATGCATGGAGAATATTGGTGGACCTTGGAATGCTTATAATATTTGATTAAACAGTCATATAAGATTTAGCATTTTAACAGAAGCTTGATTTCTTTTCTCTTGTTCAGTGCTGCTGTTTTGCCATGGAAATATAAGATTTAGCATGTTTTTTTTTTTTTTGAAAGGCAAGATTTAGCATGTTAAGTTAACACAACTTAAGTCATGTTGCATTTAAATGGTAAGGCTCTGTTGTCATGCAATCTAATTTGCAAAATGGTCTTATTTATAGTTGACATCCTCAAGACAACATCGAATGATAAACTCCCAAGTGATTTGGAAGGAATGGAGGTCACTATGGAACGACTACTGGCTCTGATTGATGATGTCTACAAATATGTCGATGATGTTGTGGTAGGTAGATCGTTCTACCTTTTGAATTTGTTCTTTGCCTTACCTTTGCTCGTTCTTTTCAGTGCTTTAGATTTTATTTGGTCTTTATATGGTATATATATGGCTTTATTCTCAGGAAGGGCATGTTGCACCAGATAACAACATTGGCAGATTTATAGCTGATACCGTAGCATCCCTCCCTAAACTGTCACCTTTGGCTTTGGATAAACTTCTGAATGACAACCTGCAGGTAAGACAACTTCAATTTATTCTCATACATCATAAGAGTTGGTTTGCACTAAGATCAAAATCTGTGGACTAGCTCACGCAAAATGGTGTTTTTCTTATGATCAACGACTTCACCTTCTGGCTTAGAAGATCATCACTAATCACTATAAACTAATATTCTGTTGATATGTTGAAATAATATTGAAATATGCACTCTAAAGCCATCTAACTATAAATTTGCTCTTTTCTCTCCCCTCGACTCTTGCAGGATCAGTTGTTACTGCTGTATTTGTCTAGCATAATCAGGACGCAGCTTAGCCTAGCGGAAAAGTTGAACACAGCTGCTCAGATCTTGTAATTTCTGAGTGCTAAATCCATTTGCCAAGACATGTATACTTCCCATTAGTTTAATTTGTTATTGATACGCCGCTAATTAAGGAATGCAGATTTTTTTTTTTTTTAATTCCAGAGAATGTCGTGTAATATTTCTTTTTCTTCTTCACTTTTTTTAAAGAAAAAAAATATTGAGTTGGGAAATATCATCTTGTAGGTGAATTATTATTATTATTATTGTTATTGTTATTGTTATTGTTATTGTTATTGTTATTGTTATTGTTATTGTTATTATCATTATTATTGTTGTTATTATTATTATTGTTATTTTTTTTTTATTATTTAAGTCAGATTGCCTTCGTTATCTTGATGACGCCACCCCAACCAATGTTAGATTTTATTTATTTACTTATATATTCATTTTTCCGAACTGAAAGTTGAAATACTCAACCAATATTGCTTGATGGATTAAGAAACACACTGATTAGTTTTACTGTTACCGTTACTAGGAACTAAATTATACTCGGTATGGAAAATAGGCGCTAAAGTCTAGGGGTAAGTGCAAAATTATTTTTTATAAAAATGTTATAGTTATAATATTATATGACATTATAAGTATATAATATAATATGTTATTATATAATTAATTTATTTTTTTAAGAGTTTATTGATAATATTATATATTTTTATGTGATTAATGTTACATTATATTTATTTAATATTATATTATTTGTTGGTTTTATTGCTACTTCAAACTTGAGATTAATGTTTATTTTTTCTCTCAAATTTGTGTTAGGAATTGGTCATTTAGAAAAAAATTTTATAAATTTGTTAAAATGTTTTTTTATTTTACGGTTTAAGTTCGTAAAACAAAAATTATTTAATATTATAAACAAAATTATTGAATAAAAGAAAGTTTTCGATATCAAATGATTCACTTTATCTAATGATTAAAATTGTATTATTCAAATTACACACTCTTTTTCATCATTAAAAAAAGTGATAAGATTTTTTTCTTTTCTTTTCTTTTCGGGTAGAAAAAGAAGAAGAAGAAGAAGAAGTGGTAAGATGTTGGAACTAACTTTGCCGCAAAATTGCCCTTTCGGGTTTCTATCTTGATGATGATATTATTAGTAAGGGGCCATGTCTTCTTTACAACACATGATAAAATAACAAGCATTTGGGTTTTGTATCTTTGTTAATCAATTCTCTTATTCATCTCAAAAGGAGAAAAGCTAGATTAATTATGAGTTGGATTAAGAGTTAAAATAAGAAAAAGAAGCGTCTAGGGATTTGACTAACTAGCCCCGCTGTTACTTTACTGGGTGGAGGAGGGATTCAAGGAGCAGCAGGAAACTGAAATGCATTTGCAGGCCACGAACGGAACCTCAATCCAACATGCGTTGCTTAGGAATTGGTCACCATCCCAACCCCTGTCTCCCTAATGCCCGTTATGTCCAGCATCCAAGCTTGACATGCCTCCCATGATTAGGATGACGATTGCTGCACTTTTTGTCTTGATTGCATTAATGAATAACGATCTTCCAAAGTACAGTTCGATCTCCACTTTCTCACAATTAGTGGCGTTGTATCTACCCGACAGACATGGGTGGAGTTAAGAGAAAAGCGACGGGAAACTGGGGGGGCGAGGCGGCCTAGATTTCACGCGTGCCCTATCTTTGATCTTTCGTTCTACCCTAATATAGGATCTCGCTTAGGTCTCCCTAGATCACTTCTTCTGTCTTTGCCATGTCGGAAGTCTTAGGCTCGGACTCATCCTAGGATCTACATGGACAACACACAAACGACACCACAACAGACACATTGCACTTTTCCCAATCTCCCATCTCCTTAAATCCTTCAAACCCCAGGACTATTCATTTTAAATGCTTCCCTTAATGCATGTACTTGAAATTTTTCTTTCTAGTACTAGTATCAAATTTGGATGTACTCATGTATTTCAAACCCCGGCACTATATATTCAATTTAGCTCAAAATCTTTTATTTTTATTATAAAGAAATTATTAAATTATTTAAATTGTTATAACATAATCGTTGTTAGTTTTTAGTTTGTGTTTGTTTAGTATATGTTTTTGGAAAGAAAAATGATTGGTATGCCAACCAATTCAACATAACTTTCAATACTTACTAGTTTAACCATTAAAATTTATAACTTCAAAGTTTTCTCTTGTTTAATTCAAATTTTAAAATAATAAATTTTTAATGAATGTATTATAAATAATATTAAATTGGTAAATGAATGTAACTATCTATGTCTTTTTCAAAATTTAACATGTTTATTTTAGTTCTAATGTAATGTTAGTAAATTTTTGAAAACCAAAGTTAGAAAACAAAAATGGTAGTCATACTACGCATTTGGATGCCTGAAATATTTATAAGTAAATTTAATAAGTAATGATGGGTATATATTTTGATACAACAAATTTACTAACACTTATTATTGGTTGAGTCATTAAATTTTGCAAATGAAATTTTTGCTGTCTTAAATTTAAATTTAAAAATAATTATTATTTAATGAATATATTGTGAAATATATTGAATTAAAAAGTGTATCAATTATTATCTAAATTCAATAATTAGAGGGAGAAGTACATATTAATATTGTTATTACAAAATAATAAAGGAGTTTTCTATCTTGTGCCTGGGTAT